TGGCGGCGGGGAAGGCGCTGGGCGCTGACGAGCCGCGGTTTGTGTTCTCCTTGCAGCGCTGATCAGCCTGTCGTTCGGCGGAGCGGTCGGACTCATGTTCCTGATGCTCGGATGCGCCCTTCCCCAGTACAAGTAACCGCGCTCTCTGCCTTGGCTCTTCCGCGCGCCCGGGCTTCTGCCGCTGCGGGCCGAGAAGCCCTTTCTGTATGCAGGGGGCTGTTGAGTTTGCGGGGGTTTTTGCATCCAAACGTTGGGGTGGATAAAGAGACCGTCTAGGAGTTACTTCTCTCTAAAAGCGAAGGCGTTAGAAGTTGCCGGGCCGGGCTGCGAGTTTAAAGAAGGCGCTGTCCTCGCACGTCTCCAGAGTTGTCCCTCTGCGGTGAAGGAGCAGACAGCGCCTCCCGAAGCAGGCAGCGTGTGCTACCGAGGAGCATCTGGTTTTCTCAGGCTGCTCAGCGGTAGCTGGTCTGTGTGTGACCATCGGGTGGGCCCTTGGCTATGCACCACGCTTGGCCACATAGGGTCTGGAATAATTGCAGCTGTCATCTGTACTGTCCAGCTCTACTATCTCTTAGCTTCTGAGAGACACAAAGCCATAGACCAAAAGTTTGGAAAGTTAGGTCTGTGGCTTTGACCCTCTGCAAGCAATCGCTGACTTGACAGAAGAATCTTTTAAGTTGACTTGTGGAATGTTAAATAAATACCACAGTCCTGCTAGTGGCTGTGGATCACAGTTCTCTCCATACAAGGAGAGATTTCTCAGGCCAGCTCGCTTTTGTCCTCCAGCCAGGGCTGGTGCCTCAGAGCTGCAGGAGGGAGGTGGTTCTGTGGTCACCCTCTGAGCCATCAAAATTCTATTAAAGCAGCGTGCAGCTGCACCAGCACACCTGAGGAATCTGGTCTGGCCAGGTGCAGGCAAGAAGAGAGAACATTGCCAAAGATGCTGCTGCAATTTTTGTAGGATTTTGTTGGTTGTGTTCAGATTTAAAAAAAAGGCAGTAGTGTCTGTTCCCTGTGGTGGGATACGTTGGCTGCTCCCTGCAGGAAGAGGTTCCCTGTGCCACAGGTTAAAGTTGAGAGCTAAGCTGGCCTTGGGAGGTGGTGTTAGGGTTGGGCCTTTGCTTTGTGAGTGTCTTGTGAGCGAGCTCTGGTGCTGCCCCACGTGCCAGCAGAAGCCACTCACACACGTGGTCTGGTGGGTTGCTGAGCAGAGGATTTGCTTCCCCTGAGCTTGTCTCTCCTCAATGTGGGTGCTGGATGGGGAAATGCCTGGCATTCATCTGGGGAAGAACAGGAAATCCATTGAGTTAACTTTAATTTTTCTTCTCTTTTCTTTTTCAGCCGTTACTGGCCACTGTTTGTTCTGTTTTTTTATGTTCTTTCTCCTATCCCATACTGCATAGCAAGAAGATTAGTGGATGACACAGATGCTACAAGCAATGCCTGCAAGGAGCTAGCCATATTCCTCACAACAGGCATTGTTGTCTCAGCATTTGGACTGCCCATAGTGTTTGCAAGAGCAGAACTGGTTAGTAATATTTACATCTTTTTTTTTTCTTTTCTAGAAAGCTTTGTTATTAATGTGGTTTTTTTTTTCCTAAAAATAGAGCTCTCATGTGCTGATCAGCTCTTATAAATATGAACATAAGATGCTTGTAGTGGAAACAGAGTAAGAGTTCTTTTGGTGAGGAAAACTAACAGTAGAAATAGAAACGTGGCAGAACATTGCAGTTGCCAATTGCTTTGCCTGGTCATGGAATAACCCCTGACAGCCTATATGCAGTGCAGGGAAAATGACATAGAAAACAGTGTGAAAATTTAACCAAAAGGCAAGTAAACAAATGGGAAAGTGCATAGAATACTTTGAAGGTGATTTGGAATAGCTGGGCTAAAGAAGCGTGAAGAAATGATGCATTTTTGCACCCACTGTAAGTGATATTGGTGTTATTTTTTGAACTTCTGAGCTGCCATTATAGCTTTCTCAATATGTGGCTTAAAATTGCTAAAATCCTTTAAAAGATGACCTTATTTGTGTGAATTTTGGAGAGCACTATGAAGTCAAAACCACGGAGTGCATTGTGATAAAATTTCTTTAGAGAACAGCAGCTCAGGCGGTTGGTTTGAACGCCTCACACCCTTTGACTTGGTCTTACTCCAGCTTAGTCTTACTCCAGCTTACTCTCAGAAAACATTTGCCTCTGTTTTAGTCTCTGGGGCATCTTGTGGCATTTCAAAGACCTGTATCCTTAAACATCAGTTTAAAACAAATCCTACGGCACGGTTAGCAAGTGTAGCTGGGCTGCAGATGTGGTCGGTGCTGCTGCCTAGCCTCACTTTTACTATTTGTGGATATTGGAGCAAAACAGCTGCTCCTGCTATAGCTAGCACAGGCCAGGAGAAGCCTGCAGTGTGGGCTGGCTGACTGTGAGCTGGTTGTTTTTTTGGGGGTAAACCCAGCTTTCATGGCATAACCACTGATACCACCTTCCCGTGTTGGTAGCCCGTTGGTGAAGCTCGTCTAGGACGTGGCGCTGAGGGGTTACCCCTTGTCTGGGCAGCATTCAGTTCAGAGGTGCCTAATGAAACTCCCCCTCTTTGCAGATTTACTGGGGTGCCTGTGCACTGGTTCTCACGGGGAACACCGTCATCTTTGCCACCATCCTGGGATTTTTCTTGGTCTTTGGCAGCAACGACGACTTCAGCTGGCAGCAGTGGTGAAAGGAAGACAAGAGAACTATCACGGGCATCTGGTCACGCAGTGGCCATCCAGACAAATGAGAGAATGGGCAATAAAGAGAAGTAGTGTAGCGAGCCTCCCAGGTATTCTAGATGCTCCTTTTCACCTTGTTTGCTCGAGCGTGCTGCTGTTGCTGGCAGGTTTTACACGTCCTCGTGGAGAGACAACCAATTCCATTGTTACCTGTGGTATGTTTTTAGGTGCTCTCCTGGTTTAAAGTTGCATCCTTCTGTCCGGTGTTTATGTGAAACTTTAAATCTGGAACAAGAACATTCAAACACGCTTTCAAAGATGATTTAAAGTATTTTTTTTGTTTGTTTTAAGTTAAGCATTAGTACTGTGGTGTTGCCGCTGTTGTCAATTAGCAGATCAGTAGATTGTTGCTGTATTTTAGCAGAGGCAAGGCGGGGTGAAGAGTACCAGTTGCAGATTTGTTTTCTTCTGCCCATACCTCAGACTGAGTGATGAATGTTGATAGCCTTCATTTCAGGAGAAGGCTGAGGAGCAGGTAGAGTTATTTGGGAGAAGTCCTAAATTTTAATGCAGTTTTACCTGCTTTGTTATCAGTCGGTGCGTGGATGTGACATTCAGATGCTCTGTAAATGGATTGATCCTATGACATACAAAAGTATTGTAGGGGAAGGGAAAATGATGTTTAAATTCAATTTAAAAAAAAAAAAAAATCTCTTTTGAACTTATTCTATTTGTAAGTATTGTATGGTTTTGAACTTCTGTGTCAACTTTTTACCACGAAGATGGTAAAACGTTCACTTGAGGAGCTACTGGTCTGTGTCAATCTGAAGCATATACAATGCTATTTCCTCCTTCCCCTTTTTAATTTATTTTATACATAGTATATATATATATATATATATGGAAACAGCTTTTCAAATGTAGATTAAAACTTTGTGGTAAACTTGCCCAAGGTTGTGTTTTGTTTTCTTTCACACAGTCCCATTAGGGCGTGACCTTGGGAAGTCACTGGCTGGGCTGATTTCACTGGCCGGTTTTTAGCAA